AAAGAGAGAAAAGCTAAAAAAATTAAGATAATAAGCTTTATTTATTGTGCTGCAAGTATACAGAACTTATAAAAAAATCTTATCATATTATATATATATATATATGCACCAATAGACAATATTTATTTCAATATCAATATAGAAAGAAATATCAAATATTACAAAATGTAATAAAACTATAAAAGGAACAGATACAAAATTAATGTTCGTTAAAACTAAATTATTTCATAAAATAATAAACCTTCGCTTAAGAGTAAATATCGTTCAAAGCTTTAAATTAATATTCAAGTTCTAAAGATTACAGGAAAATGAAATGTGAAATACACCGAAGAAAGACATTCATAAACTCATCAGTATACATTAACTAGACTAACTTTTTTTCATTGCCGATTTACCTACATTCTCAGACAACTTGGATAAAATGTATGTGGCTAGTTTAATATTTCCTTCAATTAAATCAGTCCAGGCTGCAGTTGATAAAATATTGGCAGCATTGAGCTCCATAAAGCTTAGCGCATAGAATTTCAAACTTTCGCAATTTATCATATCTGCAATTGCAATAATTTCACACACATTTTCAATGGATGCAGAAGATTTCAAGAAAAAACTACATTTGTCTACGAGCGACTGCACTTGGTACTTATCAGCAGTTAATATTAGATTCTTGGCAATATAGTAATCCATTTTATCCACTCTATCCGTATACAAAAATTCGAGAAACGATTTCAATATTTTTCCATCTATGTTAGCCATATCCACTATACCAGTTTTGTTCTCCAGCATATCTTGATCAAACATGGCTGCTAAAACCGGTGATCGTACTTTCAAAACAAACTTGTGAGCAGAAAATTCATCATTTTTGCAACGAATTGTAACATCTGAGTACTTTTTGCTGGAAAATATGTTTTGAAATTCACTTTGCATAGAAGAGGTTGGATTATCCTTAATTGTCTCAAAGCTACAAGTAGTTGAAAATTCAAATTTTTCGATAAAACCGGAAGCCTTATTCTTGGAGATGCAAACCTTACATTTCAACCCAAATTCATACCAGGATGAACTGCTTTCACACTTTTTCATTACTTCTTTTGTTATGAAATCTGGAAATTTCCACGGTACTACATTTTTATACATATGCATTGCACGTTTGGAAGCTAACACACATCCGATTTTATTAAAAATAGAAATTGTAAATGTCAAACAATTAGGTGCTTCAGATATCTTTTCTTTGAGCCAAATTGAAATTGTCAGAGCTTCTGACATGGAATTCAAAACAATTTCTACATTATACAAATCTGAGATTGAAAAAGCAATGTTTTCAGAGCATTCACGCAGATTGGGTATTTTTACATTCCAGTCAACAAAGAATCGGTCTACTTCGATGATAGTACAAGCTACTGTTCCAGATACCTTTTGCTTGAGTCTGTTATCCCTCTTTATTCGACAGCGAAGTGTTAATACATCTTTGGTCCAATTGCTCATTTCTTTCTCCAATACATCGATAGAAAAGAATTCTTTCCAGCCCCTAAAATTATGTGTACCTTTCGACTCAAAACTCTTCAAAACACAACATTTTTCGTCCACAATCTCTAAGCTGAAAGAAATAGTGACTGCTTGAATTGTGTCACCCAATGCTTTGCGATTCAAATAATAACAAACGTTATTTTTTGATAGATGGTCACCTTTCGGATAAAACCACAAACAAAACTGAAAATAAGGGATATCTTCTATCGTAAAGGAAGGACTCACAATTTTCTCACCTTTCGCTTGGTAACAAGAAGAATAGTTTTTAATCTTCCAGGTGAAAACATACTCATTAATCTCTTCGCTCAACATTTTTCACGCACTATCCAAAAGAGAACAAAATAATACCAAGCAAATGTTCAAAGAGAATGAATGTCAAGTGAATAATCCCATTCTTCGATTCCCCATCCTTCTGATACGTCATTCTTCTCTGTGTAAAAATGGTAATTATCCCTTTCGTTATTGGCTAACGTGATAGAACATTGCCTTTCGGGGCACGTCAGTGATCACGTGATTCAGATGTAAATTGTTCAGATGCTTCGAAAAGAGTTGATGGCTTTTTTTTATTATTTTATTTTATACTTATCTTATTTTACGTTTGACGCTTATGAATCATTTGTCTTACGAGCTTTATATGAATATGAATGTTCATACATGATAGAGATGCTTTGTCAATTTTGTTTTAGTTATGGAAATACATTCTTCCTAAATATAGATTACGAAAATGTATAGTTATAAATACAAGGTTTTACATATTTACCAACTTTAATGAATGCATATTTATAATCCTTTTTAAAAAAAGCAAGCAAATAAATATACACATTAAGAGTTTTAAATTCATATTTAGGCACACAAAAAAAGGAAAATTTTATTGAAATTCAATGAATTCCTAATTGAGATTTTATTTTACTTCACAACCAGCGATGAAAAGCTGATGCATTTTTACGTTTGCGGCAATCAACTCCATCGCCTTGTAATTTTAAACCCAGCCTAGAAGACAATAGAACTAAGCTTTGAGGCTATCTACAGCGTTCGTTAAATTTTTTTAGATGATTTAATAAGCAGTAGCGTTACGCAAAGAGGAAAACCATGAAAACCTTCGATATTTATACTGACAGTAAGGGGATTTTAACCCATGATCCATCTACCACTGAATATCTTATATAACAGTAATGTTATCGGTAGGGGGAATAGAACTTAAATGTACCAGCCATCGCTGGGATTCGAACATGGGTTGTCTCAATGGGAGGCGGAGAGCTCTATCCTCATCGCGACTCAGGAAATCGAGATTTTTTACTTTTATTTGATTACCGTCGTTTAACAGTCGATCCAATTTTGAGTTTACCACTACCAATGTTTAAGTTCACAGTCTTGTAGTTTTGAAAGCAATTCAGAAGACAAGGGAACTCCTGGATCAAGTATTAGGAGAAATTTGACTTCATCGAGGACTTTTTGATGGAACTAACCCACTTCTGCAATACATGGGGAATGAAATCACAAAAACCGCCCACGTTTAGCCTCACGACTATGTAACTCTATTCCATAATCCAACTACCACTGTGGATATCTTACATTAGTACTGTGGTCGGTGAGAGCCGGGCGGGAAATTCGTATGAACCAGCCATCACTGGGACTCGCATGGGGGTAACCACATTGGGAGGCAAGCGCTCTATTCCCTGAGCCATATCTAAGTCTTTGTGATTGTTCGTGGAAAATTGGAAGTTTTTGAAAGAATTGTTCATTTCATTTCTCTTCCTCTCCGTCTTTAAGCAGTTGTTGATATTTTAAACCCCTCTTTATGCGATAGAGATTTTTAAATTTCGATATTGTTTTTATTTGTTTCCTATTCCTTCCTCGATTATATGTTTGGGACCCCTAATGTCTATACTTTTTTTATTTCTCTTTTGAGGATTCAAAAAATTTACATTAAGGGTGATAATGGTGTAAAACCATATCAACCGAAGGAGAGAAATTAAGGTAAGATAAATTCCACGAACTCAGTGGGTCTGGAAAATTTTTGGACCAGATGATTTCTCAAGTTCAAAGATTTTCGAACTTTGACACGAAAAAAGTCTAACGATTTGGTCAGAAAAAGAAGACTAATCGTACTTCTCGTAAGTATATAAAGAATATTTTACTTTCTAATAAATATATCGAGAATATTGTAAAGAAAGTCTTTTTTTTTAAATTTTTAAGAAATTCAGAGAATAAAAATTGTTTAAAATTTTATTTTAATAACAATTATTGAAAAAAAAATTTTGAAATTTTTTTTTTTTAAATGGTAAAATAATCTTTGAAAGTATGAACCCAAAATGTTAAAATCCAAATAGCAAAATTCTTATTATTTAACTTTTAATTTAACTTTCTTATTTAATTTAACTTTTTCTTTGCCATACTCATTGCTTGCATTTTAATGAAAAATAATTATTTATGGAATCCCATTAGATAAATTGTGATAAATTCAACCGGTATAGATTTTTTTGCGACCAAAAAAAGATATTCGCAATTTAATACAATACTATTCTCAGATAATAAAATAAAGAGACTCTTGAAAAATAAATGGTTGATTTCATAAATATGACAAGTTTGTTTTGTTCTTTTTGGCTTTCAGAAATAAATTTTATTTGGCATTATTTATTACTCAGGCTACAATTTCCCAAATGTAGGTGGTTTGCATTCTATTTCATCAACAAATCATACAACTGTAAGGGAGTGTTTAAATATTACTCAAGCACTAAAGAGAATGTTTTGCTTAAAGGTAGGATGCAAGCAAAAGATACTAAAATCCTTTCATTTGCAATTTTTTTAAAAAATAACTCCTGGAATAAGTTTAAGTATGAATAAATATAATTTTCGGTCAGTCAGGTGCTAGTAACTTAAACTATTTTTTGTATATTTATTTATTTTATATGTGAAAGTTTATTTGAATAATAAAATTAAAAAATGATAAATAATGTAATAAATTGAAATAATGAAATAAAATGAATAATGCATAGTAAAATTAAATTTTTAAAAAAAATTGTTGAATTTACTTGTGCCTATAGCTAACCGAAAAAAACTTAAATTAAAATTTAGTTAAAAAGAAACAATAAGTTAAGAAAATATACTTACTGATGTCAAAAGATTTAACCACTGAAAAGGAAACATAAGATTCTTAAAGAATATTCAACTAAAGGTTCCACAAAATTAATAAAAATGTTAACTGTATTTTTTAAGCAAACATTATGTCTTTTATTTGATTTTAGTCTTAAAATTAGATTGTTACAAAAATAAAAGTTACAGCATAAAAAGTGTTGTGACGTTCTAATGCACACTTGGGAAAGGATTTGAGATTTGCACATTTTTGATAACAATTGGATTTTATTTGCTAACACTTCCCAGTTTCTAACATTTGGATTGGATTTAAAATTCAAAATAACCAGAAACAAGTTTATGTATCATTTGTAAAGTCTTTTCCATTAATTGAATAGCAAACTACAATAATACTCATAACAACTAAAACAAAAGCTCAAAATATTTTAACTAAATTACTTTATTTCATCATGAAGTATTATTTTACCCGTGCAAGTTTGAAATTTACCCAGTAACAAATTAGAATATATATATATATATATAGCACAAAAAATACAAA